TACACAACCTAACCCTACACTTAAAGGAGCTGGAGAAAGAACAGCAAATAAAGCCTAAACCCAGCAGTAGAAGAGAAATAATAAAGATCAGAGCAGAAATCAATGAAATAGAAACCAAAAGAACAGTAGAACAGATCAATGAAACTAGGAGCTGGTTTTTTGAAAGAATTAACAAGATTGATAAACCCCTGGCCAGACTTATCAAAAAAAAAAGAGAAATGACCCAAATCAACAAAATCATGAATGAAAGAGGGGAGATCACAACCAACACCAAAGAAATACAAACAATTATAAGAACTTATTATGAGCAACTCTACGCCAGCAAATTAGATAACCTAGAAGAAATGGGTGCATTCCTAGAGATGTATCAACTATCAAAATTGAACCAGGAAGAAAACAAAAGAAAGAACAAGAATCATATGATCCTCTCAATAGATGCAGAAAAAGCATTTGACAAAGTACAGCATCCTTTCTTGATCAAAACTCTTCAGAGTACAGGGATCGAGGGTACATACCTCAATATCATAAAAGCCATCTATGAAAAACCTACAGCAAATATCATTCTCAATGGGGAAAAGCCGAGAGCTTTCCCTCTAAGGTCAGGAACATGACAGGGATGTCCACTATCACCACTGCTATTCAACATAGTATTAGAAGTCCTAGCCACAGCAATCAGACGACAAAAAGAAATCAAAGGCATCCAAATCGGCAAAGAGGAAGTCAAACTCTCACTCTTTGCAGATGATATGATACTCTATGTGGAAAACCCAAAAGACCCCACCCCAAAACTGCTAGAGCTCATACAGGAATTCAGTAAAGTAGCAGGATATAAAATCAATGCACAGAAATCAGTGGCATTCCTATACACCACCAAGACAGAAGAGAGACAAATCAAGGAGTCGATCCCATTTATAATTGCACCCAAAACCATAAGATACCTAGGAATAAATTTAACCAAAGAAGCAAAGGATCTGTACTCAGAAAACTATAAAATACTCATGAATGAAATTGAGGAAGACACAAAGAAATGGAAAAACGTTCCATGCTCATGGATTGGAAGAACAAATATTATAAAGATGTCAATGCTACCTAGAGCAATCTACACATTCAATGCAATCCCCGTCAAAATACCATCCACTTTTTTCAAAGAAATGGAACCAATAATCCTAAAATTTGTATGGAACCAGAAGAGACCCCAAATAGCCAGAGGAATATTGAAAAAGAAAAGCAAAGCTGGCGGCATCACAATTTCAGACTTCCAGCTCTATTACAAAGCTGTCATCATCAAGACAGTATGGTACTGGCACAAAAACAGACACATAGATCAATGGAGCAGAATAGAGAGCCCAGAAATAGACCCTCAACTCTATGGTCAACTAATCTTTGACAAAGCAGGAAAGAATGTCCAATGGCAAAAAGACAGTCTCTTCAACAAACGGTGTTGGGAAAATTGGACGGCCACATGCAGAAGAATGAAACTGGACCATTTTCTTACACCACACACAAAAATAGACTCCAAATGGTTGAAAGACCTAAACGTGAGACAGGAGTCCATCAAAATCCTAAAGAAGAACACAGGCAGCAACCTCTGCTCGACCTCAGCCGCAGCCACCTCTTCCTAGAAACACTGCCAAAGGCAAGGGAAGCAAGGGCAAAAATGAACTATTGGGATTTCATCAAGATAAAAAGCTTTTGCACAGCAAAAGAAACAGTCCACAAAACCAAAAGACAACCGACAGAATGGGAGAAAATATTTGCAAATGACATCAGATAAAGGGCTAATATCCAAAATCTATAAAGAACTTATCAAAGTCAACATCCAAAGAACAAATAATCCAATCAAGAAGTGGGCAGAAGATATGAACAGACATTTTTCCAAAGAAGACATCCAAATGGCCAACAGACACATGAAAAAGTGCTCAACATTGCTTGGCATCAGGGAAATCCAAATCAAAACCTCAATGAGATACCACCTCACACCAGTCAGAATGGCTAAAATTAACAAATCAGGAAACGACAGATGTTGGCGGGGATGCGGAGAAAGGGGAACCCTCCTACACTGTTGGTGGGAATGCAAGCTGGTGCAACCACTCTGGAAAACAGTATGGAGTTTCCTCAAACAGTTGAAAATAGAGCTACCATATGATCCAGCATTTGCACTACTGGGTATTTACCACAAAGATACAAATGTAGGGATCCGAAGGGGTACGTGCACCCCAATGTTTATAGCAGCAATGTCCACAATAGTCAAACTGTGGAAAGAGCCAAGATGTCCCTCGACAGATGAATGGATAAAGAAGATGTGGTATATATACACAATGGAATATTATGCAGCCCTCAAAAGGAATGAGATCTTGCCATTTGCAACGACGTGGATGGAATTGGAGGGTGTTATGTTGAGTGAAATAAGTCAATCAGAGAATGACATGTATCATATGACCTCACTGATATGAGGAATTCTTAATCTCAGGAACAAACTGAGTGTTGCTGAGTGGTGGGAGGTGGGAGGGATGGGGTGGCTGGGTGATAGACATTGGGGAGGGTATGTGTTATGGTGAGCGCTGTGAATTGTGCAAGACTGTTGAATCACAGATCTGTACTTCTGAAACATATAATGCAACATATGTTAAGAAAAAAGAAAAAGAAGATAGCAGGAGGGGTAGAATGAAGGGGAGTAAGTCGGAGGGGGAGACGAACCACGAGAGATGATGGACTCTGCAAAACAAACTGAGGGTTCTAGAGGGGAGGAGAGTGGGGGGATGGGTTAGTCTGGTGATGGGTATTAAAGAGGGCAAATTCTACGTGGAGCACTGTGTGTTATGCACAAACAATGACACTACATCAAGAATAAAAAAATAAATAAAGAAATAAAAAGAAAAAAAACAAAAACAGAAACCCCCTATACAGAAATCTAGTGGTCCTATTGTAGACTGCTGATAAGGAGAAAGGTTCTTCCCTGCTATTTTCAGTAAGTCTCTTATTATTTTAAAAATTCTACAGGCAGATGATCTGAAATTGAGCTATTATTTAGATTATGATAAAAAGCCAGGAAGAGGACAGATGCTGATTTCTACTTAGAAAGACACCCTGCTCATAAAAAACAGAAACTGAGGCTCTTATGGGCAACTGAATAGAACCGCAGGCAAGTCAGGGGCCCTCTGTGCATGTAACATTTCTAAAAAGAGATAGATATTATGAAGGCTAATGAAATAATGTGGAGAAGTGACAGAATACCAATGCTCTTTAGTTTTAAAATTGATGACGTTCCTACAGATACCAGAAAACCATGTGATTGCATAGCCGAATGTGGGAGGGGAGGCACCGCCAGGGCCCCTGAGAGTATCCTGACCTTAATGATTTGAAAGAGAATATGAAAACCTTGCTGATACTCAAACTGTGGTCTGAAGAGACGATCGGCATAGGTATCACTGAGAGCTGGTTAGAAATGCAGACTCTCAAGCCCCATCCCAGACTGAATCAGAATCTGCATTCCAACAAGATCTCCAGGTGAAGCACAAGCATATTTAAAGCTTGAGAAGTACTGTGCTGAAAACACTGAGAGTGCTCTAGCAAAAGGGACCACTGAAATTTCAGGTGCTTTCAACCCACCACAGATGTGTGTGGAAGGAGTCCTGAGTCAGGCTGGCCCTCTCCTGGTACCAGGAAAGGTTGACTTCTGAACAACCACAGGTTAAACAGTTGAGAAGTAAACATTTTTTATTACAAATATCAGTATCAATCAGGTGAGCCTCATTTAGTTCCCTCTTCTTTAGTGAAATTAAAGATAACAGATGAAAATATATAAAGCTAGCCATGGTAAGAAATGTTTTACTAATCTGTCTGGAAAATGCCAAAAACCATAGCCAGACTAATGATTAAGTGAGCCTGGGTCATTACATTTTCATAATTGTAACTGTTAATACCTGGGCCAGGGTATTGATTTATTGATTAGCAACAACTTATTGATTTAAAAAAAACGAATTTCAACTTTCGTTTTCAGAAAAGATTATTTAAAAGATCTTAAGAGAAAATAATCCGCCTTTAAGAGAGAATGTTTTCGAATGTGAGAACAAATGCTGGAGGAAAAACAACCTATATTCTGATCATGGCTTTCCTCATGTTAGCTTCTTATTGGGAACAGCAATTTTTGTAAGGATATAGTACTAAAGCATAGGAATGAAAGGGTGTATATGTTATTTTCGCTCCATTCATACCAGAATTTCCTTTTCATGCCCACTTCCCCAATTATCTGATGTCCTAGACAAAGTATGGGGAAACTTCCAAATAGGGGAAAGCGGTTTCCCAGAAGCAAAGTTACTGAGGGCAATATTTAAGGAGCAAAGAACTCTACCTTTAAACATCTTGTACTGGCACCTGAGGTTCCATTTTAAGTTTCTGAACAACAATATTGATAGTGGCCATATTGGTTTACTTTTTCTTGGATCCTTATCACCAAATTTCATTTTCCCAGACAGAGTAACTGGGCACAAAGTGCAAGAGAAGAAATGACCATGACAATTAGTGGGATAGAGAGATGACTGGTGTGACAGACAGCAAGGAAGACAGGATCCAGATTACTGGTCTTGCCACTCAGAGATGGAGTGCTTCTGAAACTATGCCACCAAAACTGCTCATAGGAATTCTGTGTTTGACCACAAGTCTTTCACTATTATACTCTGCCCAATTGTGAATAATCATAAATAGAGGCAAGAGAGGCCTGAGATCGTTTTAATTGTGATACCAAGTTAAAAATGTGAATTAGGGCGCCTGGGTGGCTCAGTCATTAAGCGTCTGCCTTCAGCTCAGGTCATGATCCCAGCGTCCTGGGATCGAGTCCCACATCAGGCTCCCTGCTGAGCAGGGAGCCCGCTTCTCCCTCTGCCTGCCTTTCTGCCTACTAGTGCTTCTACCTCTCTGTCAAATAAATAAATAAAAACTTAAAAAAAAAAAATAAAAAAATAAAAATGTGAACGAATCATGAACCGTCTTCCCCTAGTTACCTGATATCACAGCTATTTTCCCAGATCCGTGTTCTTCTCTAGCTATTCTTTCTGCCTCCTCCATCAGCAGCATGCCAAATCCCTGGAAAGAGCAAAAGAGGTGTTAGGGAATTAAGAAGGAAAGAAGTCATTAAGAAGGGTCTGTAAAACAAAAAGGCTAATATTCAGTAGTTGCTAAAATCTGCTAAATAAGAGTGACAAAAAAAAATTATGGGGATAAGAAAAGAGAAACCATTCAATCATACCAAAAATACACTGTAGCAGACTAGGCAATAATTTTACAACAAAAGCCATCAAAAGGTATTCTGTAGATGATGTAATCTCATCACAGGAAGGGGGCAATTGTCTCTCAACTTCCGTCTCTTTTTAAATAAGCTCTAGGCAATCTCCAGGTGATTAAGTCTGGGGCATCTAGGGGCGCCTGGGTGGCTCAGTCTGTTAGACGTCTGCCTTCAGCTCAGGTCATGATCCCAGGGTCCTGGGATCGAGCTCCGCATCGGGCTCCCTGCTCAGCAGGAAGCCTGCTTCTCCCTCTCCCACTCCCCTTGCTTGTGTTCCCTCTCTGACTGTGTCTCTCTCTGTCAAATAAATTAAAAAAAAAAAAAGTCTGTGGCATCTAATCTTGTATCTGTTAGTCACCCCTCCAATTTCTAAAAGGTTTTTGAAACCAGGCAATATTCTTAAATCACCAAGTTAGGGATTTATGCCATATCCACCATTAGTGATTTAAAAACCATTTTCTGGAAACTTGAAAAAGTGAGTTATTTATTTATTTAAGTTGTTTGTGGGGAGTGGAATAGCATTCCACTATATATCAAATTTAGCTTGCATCTATGAAGAACTTTAATATTTCACATCATCATTGGCTTTGATTTCATAATACATAGTTGAATCATAAGAAATTGCTGGTATTACACCATTTCTGCTTTCAAAAATAGCAATTTCATATGGCTCAATCTAATACTATATTCTACTTGACTGAGTCTCAAATTTGTCTGTCACTCCTCCCCTCTCACACCCAAAAGGTTACAACTTGGGAGAGAAAATATCCCGGAACATAAAATATTAGCTCCTCGGTTTCTGTACTTGCCTTTCCCCCTTCCTCCTTCCTCTTTCACTGTTTCTTCCTCTGCCCCCTCCCTCCACCCATTCTTTTTCACTTTTCCTCCTTTGGGCAATTTCTTTCTCCTTCCTTTCCTTCTTTATTAATCTATTTTTGAGAGAGAGAGAGAGAGTGCATATGCCTGTGAGAGTGAGCAGGGTAGGGAGGTCTGGGGGAGAGGAGGGGCAGAGGGAGAGCGAGAATCTCAAGCAGGCTCCAAAATCAGCACAGAGCCCAATGCGGGGATCGTTCTCACGACCCTGAGATCATGACCTGAGCTGAAATCAAGTCAGATGCTTAACTGACTGAGCCACTGAGGCACCCCTGGGCAATTTCTTAATTACAGTCAAATAGAAATGGAATACAGCATACCTGATGCTGAAATTTAGTAGGATCTCGACTGCTCACAGGGACTACACTTCCATACACATGCAGCTCTCGAACTATGGAAACACCTCCAACCAATTCAAAACGGAAGGTTTCCTCTGAACACTTTCGTAATCGCAGGAGGCCAATCAATATGTCTTGATCTGGGTCTTCATATGATAAGAATGTTTCCCAACCACCATTTGCAACATAATCTCTCCTTACCAATTCAATCTGTTTAATAAAAATTAAAAATTTTTTAAATTAGAGAACAAAATTCATTGTTATAAGTTTATTTAGGCTAATATACTCAATTAAGGATAAAGAATGAATAATCATGAATTATGTTTCTTTTTACTTGTCTACTCTCACGTATCAATGATTAAGTAAGAGTTCATGCTTAGTTCATGGAACACTATAAAAGGAAAACATATTTGAACTTCATTAACCCTGAGATTCTTGCAGAGATCTGGCTTAGTAAATGCTTCTATGTACTTAAATCTTTGATCCTCCAGGAAGAGTCTCTAAGGTAAAATTTACACATTATATCACATGTGTAGCTCTTGCGAGCACCACTGAGCCCCAGAACAGTCAGGCGGTTCAACAATTTCATTTCCTGGCCTTTACCTCTTCCACTAAAACCTGCTTTTGGGGGGAAAAATGTGTTATTGGTCACTTGTTTCTTGATGGGATTTTAAGAAAGTATGGCATCCCTTTAAAGGGATGAGCCCTTTAAAATATTCTGCCTAGTTAGTTACAAGACTAAAACATCAAAGAAAATCAAGCACTGGAAAGTAGCTTTTGGGGAAGCTCTTGTGGTAGCAATCTACAAAGGCTTTTGACTCTTAAACTCATTGTTCAAGTGACCCTTGAATTTTGCATCTATATAAGCAATAGGTAACAGTATGCACAGAGAAACCTACATATGGTCACACCCAGACACATTCCAAAAATAGGCAGATTGTACCTGTAGTGAGGTGAACAATTCAGACTAATGCTTATGTTTCTTCTCAAACTTAATGTTTGCTAACTAACTGGATTGCAAAGGAATTTGGAAAATCAATTAACTGTGTTTGGGTCTACTTTTTTCCTCAAAAGGTCCCAAATATTAAAAATATCAATGCAGGTATCACCTAGCCTTTCTCAAATGGGGTTCCACAAGAGAGTTAACTCCCAAAGGAAATGTGGCACATAGCTAGGCATTATAGGTATATAGGAAAGAAGTTAGCTCTCTGTACAAACAATAAATACTTTTGGGCATTACGCTTAAGTTTTGTGGAACCCCTGTAGATAAGGGCCCATCTATTGATTTGACTACCACCAATGGGGTAGAATTTAATAGTTGTATATGCAGAAATAAACATCATATTCGGCTCTACCTGAAGGTAGCCACTAGCTGCATATGGCTATTTATATTTGAATTAAACATAAATAAAAATTAAAAACTCAGTTCTTCAGCTGCACTAGCCACTTTTCAAGTGCTTACTAGTCATATGTCACTTGTGACTGGTGGCTGATACCATACTGGATGGCGCCGATTATAGAACATTTCCAACCCTGCAGAAAATTCTGGTGGATTGTGCTGATCCGGAACGAAGCTCAGACTTGGTTTTCCTAGCCTGGCTCTTCTACGATTCATCCACCCTCATATTTGCCTTTCCTGTCTTGACATCCATATGTGATTGTCAATTACACTTTGCTTAGTTTACTTATTAACTTCTAGGGATCAGTCCTATTGGTTAGAAAGTGTGGGTCCAGCCTTGCCAAAAACTTATGAACAGGACCCAAATTCTCTATAAAATGAAGAAACTAACCTGGTATGGCCGTACTTTGTGATGAATTTCCTGGATTCCAACCTCTCTGGTTCTTACATCTCGACACTGCCAAAAAAGGTGGAGGAGAGGGGCAAATACAAAACTGGTAACTAATTCAATTTTTATTCACACCTTCCCACCAAACCCTGGTCTCAAAATTAAGTCTGGACATAATTTACAATGAGAGAAAAACAACTAAATTTAAAAATAAAACCATCTTTAATAAATCTGAGGATGGGGGAAATAAAGTATAAAGTTAGTACAGTAATGCTTTAAAAACAAGCTCAGAATTCTGAGATCAATATATAATACTCAAAGTAAATAACATAGGTCCTAAAATCTGAAAATAGTTTTACCCAGGGGATATAACTGTACCTGAATGTACAATCCAAAACTATGTCTTCACCATCACGTTTGTATCATTTTAAAATGTCAAAAAGAGGGATGCTGAAAGACTGCTGTGCTTTTTTTTTTGCAGAGAAGGGCATTGTGGAAGAAAGGATGGGAGGAAGGAAGGGAGGAAAAAAGGAAGAAAAGAAGGAACCCAGAGCTATTTATTATACAGTCTGAACCACAGTCACGAGAGCATCACTAGGAGGCACAGAGCTACCTGCAGATGATACACATGCAATGCCTGGTCTCTGCAAGGCCAAGCTCATGTGATGAGACTCTCACTTCTATTCCACAACCCAGTGTGCATACTATACAGCCTGACATTTATAATTACAAAGTCCTTACAGTATTCCGTTATATGTTCTATGGTCTATTTTCCCCTACATAATAAATTGTAAAAATTATTGTCAGGATTCTAACATTTTATACCTGTGAGAAAAGATCATCCTAGGAAATGTGATGTCATGCAAGCTATATTACTAAAATAGCATATTTATGAAGTACTATTATATACGTATAGAATTCCATGAGAAAAATAAGAGCTCGTTATTCAGCTCTGTAAAAGCAAAGCTATTTCCATGTCCCAGGAACCAGTCCAAGATAATAATGCCTTGCTGATGTGGATTCTATGAACTCAAAAATTATATAGCAAACAAGGATCACAAGTCTCTGTAATTACAAATCTATTACATTTAGATGTTGTCTTTTATTTTTTAAAAAGATATTTATTTATCTGACAGAGAGAGACACAGTGAGAGACGGAACACAAGCAGAGGGAGTGGGAAAGGAGAAGCAGACTTCCCACCAAGCAGGGAGCCAGATGTGGGACTCCATCCCAGGACCCTGGGCCCATGACCTGAGCCGAAGGTAGATGCTTAACTACTGAGCCACCCAGGTGCCCCTGATGTTGTCTTTTAGCTACAGCAGTTCTATAAAGTAGTTTGCATGTGAACAGGCCATAGTTACATGCTCTTAATGAACACCTGCATGCCTTTGGGAGGGGGGCTATGAGATAATGCCTTTTTTGGTGGGGGGAGGGTCAGAGGGTGAGGGTGAGAGAATCCCAAGCAGACTCCATGCCCAGCGTATAAGCCTGGCATGGGGCCTGATCCCAAAACCCTGAGAGCACAGGCCAAGCCAAAACCAAGAATCAGAAACTTAAATGACTGAGCCACTCAGGTGCCAGGAGAATGTTTTTTAAAAAAGCAGAGATTGGTGTGTGCTTATATTCTGATAAAGACATTGCCTATGTGAACTAGATGTCTTTGGTCTATCACTGATTTTCAGTCTTCCCAGTTTAAGAGAGGCTATCAAGGTTTAAAAGGGATACTGGGTTAAAGATGATAGCTAGATGATGAGATTATCAGGATAACCAGGCCAGGTCAGTCACTTTGGCTGTGGTAGTCTCAGAGGACAGAGGGCTGGAAGACAAGGGCAGCTGGAAACTGGGAAGCAGAACAGGCATACAGTCTTGTTTGGTGCTTGCTATTAATTACCATAAATAATACATATGCTATTTTTCTATTAAAGAATAAGCCAATCATGTTCACAAACTCTTCTCTGGACAAACAATTTTCTGGAACGTTTTCTCCATAATAATTTGACTGAAAGAATAATATGTCTTGGGCAAGTCCACAAACATGATATGCAATCCTCAAGACGGTGTCTCTCAAAGTGTGGTCCATGTTTAGATTGTGCATGAGAATATCCCACAGCTCCATCCCAGGCCTGGTGAATCCAAATTGCTGAAGGCAGAGCCCAGGAATCAATGCTCAGGCCTTGACCCCCACTCCTGGCTTTTTCTCTTTAGCAACTCTAAGGAGTTTCTAGGGCACTGTGAATTTATGTCATAATCACTTGACTGTGATTTAAGAGTCATCTGCAGAGACTGTCACAGATTCCTGGGCTCTTTTGTAACTTTCAGGGTCAGAAGAACGATGTTTAATAAGTATCTGCGGAAGAAGTAAGTACCTGAACAAACATGGGGGTGGAGTGGGGCAAGGCACACTGGACTGTGTGGGCAACAGCATTGTTTGGTAATCATTTTACACAGTAGTAAACCTTGTTTCTTCAAATGTACACTCATATAGTCTATCACCACTAGTCAAGAACTGAACACCCACCAATACTTCAAAAGAAAGAAAAAAAGAAATACTTCAAAGTTTAAAAAAGAGAGTTGAGCACACATAGTTGGCATCTGAGTAGGTGAAAAAGCAATCCTTAAATCAGCAAACCTATACTCCTTTGGAAGAAAGCAGAGGGGTGTAAGGGATAAGATGCAGCCTTTGCAAGCACTAGTTTCAACTTCATGTTACAGAATAAGAATGCCTTCAGTATATGAAACTTTTTGACCAAACTTGTGAGTCTGTAAGTATATATTCAAAGTGTTTTGTGTTTCAGATTACTTTGATCTTAACAGTTATGGTCAGACTCTTACCTGTATTCCAAGGTCCTTCATTCTTGCAAATGCCAGCTCTCTCAAATTACCATGCTCTACTCCTGAACTGACTAAGGGCATTGGAATATCTCTGCAAAAGAAAACATCAGCTGTTGTAAAATATAAATCATTCTCTACAGCAGTAAGGCAGGGATATTAAAAAAAAAAAAAAAAAAAGGAAACAAAAACCTACAAAGCAGATCAGAAAAGCAGAATATTCTAAACAGGAAGCAAGGTACAGAGCTTCTCTGTCCCTCTTTTCCCATCCATGAAATCATGATGTTCACCTACCACTCAGGGTTTTTGTGAGAAACACCCGATGAAAATCACCTTATAAGATCACAAAGTGTAAAACAAATGTCTGATAACTATCGGTAATGATTTTTGGCTGAAGAGATATATTTGCACTCAGCAAAACAAGAAATACAACTGTCTTTTTAAATATCCAATTTGTTTAAAGAGGAGAAATAACAATTATTATCAATGCACTTCTTTATTAATAGCTTATAAACACTTGCCCATGCAGTTGCTGAATGACAAGTAACCAGGAAGCTCAAAAGCCTGGCTCAGCCAACAACTGGACTTGAAGAATACTCCCTCGCCCCTCCCAGTTTCCTAGAAATCTAAATTAGAAGTGACTCTGCATTAGAAGATTAACAGCTTGCCTAAAGATAAGAGGAGATAAATTTTATTTCCTGGCATTAATACAGCATAAGGTGCCAGGCACCAAGGAGATTTCAATCAAAAGCTGAAGTTATGAGCTTTATTTTAGTAGTCCCCAGCACCCTCTTCTAGACAAAAATCAGCATCTGAAGATAAAAGTTAAAAAAAATCTGAATATGCTTAGCACATCTGTTTCCTATTCAAAGACAAGTCTCCAATTTGTTTTGTCTAATATTTGGTTCATTAGAAGAAAGATTTGAAGAATACACCAAATATCTTTTCTTCTCATTTGCTTTTGAATCAACTTGAGTCTTTTTCTTCTCTTTTTACGTATCCCTCCAAATGTTAAGTATATACAATTAGCTAATTCATCCACTTGATTCTAATAAGATATTTCTCTCTCACTCAAAAGTATCAAAAGCCAATCAATTAGCATTAAAAGCTATACACGTAAATCTATTAGGCTCTGGAAGCCAGCTGAGTTTCCATTAGACATTACATAAAACAATGATAAGCCAAAATTCTTTAAGACAATGACACACCAGCAAGTTCAGAGTGAGAGTGATATTAAATAATATATTTAGAGTGATTAGTTAATATATATGGTTTACTTACAGTTTTTAGTAAAAAAAAAATTAACTTTCTATCTTTGGAACTACAATTTCTTTAAAATCAAATACATTTTATTTTTTATTTTATTTTAAATATTTTATTTATTTATTCATGAGGGACAGAGGGAGAGAGAGAGGGAGAGAGGGAGAAAATGCAGGGTTAGGTTTCTGTGAGACTCAGTCACTTTTTCTTCAACTGATCAATACATAACCCTGTTTTATTTTATTTCTGTGTAAAGATACTTTATTTAACATATATCTGATTCATTAACAGAATATTTGTGGCTAGCAGCAGTGTAATTCATGCCTTAATGAAGCTCATCTAATATTTATTTTCTTCAGAAGGCTTACTACAGCTTTCTTGTGCTTAGGAATGCTAGACAGCAATTCAGCATTATGCTTGGGGCCGTTTTAAACAGCAAAATCAACACAAAGCACAAAAATGTGAAAAATGGGTAATTTAGTAGATTGCAAAAAGGACACCTGTTTACACAGTATCAGAACAATATCTTGTTCCTCATCAACCCTCCAACTACTAGTCTAACATGCGCCAATGACTCCTGTTTCACCATCCCTATTATGACTGTCAAACTGGTGATTATCTATCATCCCTTCTACATTTATTAGCTGGGCTTGTATTGCAAGGAAGAACTTTCTCTTCTTCATTTATTTATTCACCTATGAACTCATGGATTCCTTTTTTATTCAAAGAGTTGTAATCTGATGCTAATGTTTTTTATTTTGTTGCTTAAATTAGACTTGGCCAGTTGGTATGTATTCAGGCTGGTTTCTGGGTCCTTTTGACATGTCCTCATTCTTTGAATATTTCCTTACTTTCTGGAACAACAAGATGTTCCAGGTTTATTTTGCATGTTTGCTGCTTCAGCCCTGGAACTGGCCATTTTTCCAAGCAGCCCTAATTCCTTTTAGTGAGGAATGGTATTTAGAAATCAAGATCTAGGCACTTACTGTGCTCATTACTACTGAGGTGCCATTGCCTCCAGATTCTCTCAGTGTAAACAACCAAGAAATTTATGTATATACATACATATTCCTATGTGCATATAGGCGTTCATATATGCACACACATAAATGTACATCTATAACTTTTCTATATGTAAATTTTAAAAATCCATGAGTTCATACTGATAGTTACAATTCTAATCCAGTGTTCAACTTTCTACCTTTCATTGTTTATAAATCTCTTCAGACAATGAGAAATCTGGCTCTTTTATCTTTAGTATATTGACTTCTTTGCTAAATCAAATTATTTGCTCAATGTAACCAATTTCCTAACTACTCAAGCTGCCACTGCTGCACTCTCTACCCTTACTCTCCATTTCTTCAGATGACAGATATGCTGTGGTCAATGCCTCCATGGCACTGCCTCCATAGGTGATGGGAAGGAGAGATGGGAAGGGAAAGGAAGACAGGCTCTCTACAAGTATTTCTAATAATGAACCAGTACTTTTAAAAGACTAAAATTTTCAAATGAAGTAAACTCTCTAAGGGACTGGTTTTATCATACAGTGTTGTTAAGCAGAATTATATGACAGAAATAATTACCAAGAGGGCTGGCTCTAGTACAACGACAACAGCTTCTTGTTATGAAATTATTAGTAATTTCAAGATGGTGAAAGCAAAGCATTAAGTCAAGTTCAAGGCCCTATGAGACTACACATGTCACATGTCCCAAAAGCTAGCTCTGATTACCATGAAGCACAAGTCAGAGAGGACCTGATAATAGAGCGATTTATGATGATGCTGACAATTCATAAATATCCTTAAATTTATATCTATCACTACAAAAATGCAACATGTTTTTTTTTTAAAGATTTTATTTATACATTTGAGAGAGAGAGTGTGCCCATGTACAAGTTGAGCACGAGCTGGGGGGAGGGGCAGAGGGAGAAGCAGACGCCCTGCTGAACAGGGAGTCCCGACACATGGGGCAACCCTGAGATCATAACCTGAGAGGAAGGCAGACACTTAACTGACTGAGCCACCCAGACACCCACAACGTGGTTTTAATGGTCTTTGGCAGTGACGTGCTTGGAGTATACCAGACGGGAGTTCTTCCTCATTAAGGAATAGCAATGTGGCAATCTCCACTTTCAGTGATAAGGTCTTTTGCAATGAAAACAAAGGGACAGAATTCTATATATCCTGAGCATCTTCTATGTGCAAAGTAGTCTATTAAGCAATCTGGAATGTATAAAGATAAACAGACACTGTTATAGTCTTCTAGGAGCTCAAAGCCCAGGTGAGATTACTGACCATCTGAACTCCATCTAGGGAGGAGTTAAAATTATTTTTAGGTTTCTCAATTTGTTTCAATCTAGTTTTACTTTCTTGACTTGAAAAGAGATTACACTCAAGAATATTTATTCACTTTTTTATTTCAATAGGTAACATTTTAAGCTTAGAGGTGCTAATATTTGCAATTGGCTCATCAAAAACCTTTCAAAATGATGTCTAGAGCTTTTTTGGTCTGAAGGTTCTCAAGCTTCAGAAGCATGTTTTGGTTGCAAATTGGTATTCCTATTCTAATGCTTCACAGTGATTTAAATACCACCGCAAGGCAGACAGCTGTCAAAGGGCCCTCAGGCAACAGCACTTTAATGTGGCTCCATCATGTGTCTGCACAGAATTTCACATTCAATCATTCACTGCATCCTTCAGGGCCACAAAAGAGAATCATCTCTTAGAATACTGCTTCATAAAAGTACCCAATAAGATGTTACTGACTCAACGGTCATAAAATTAGAAGTGTTAAGTTATAAATTAGTTAAGAAAAGGTTGGGGAAAATGTCCAATTAAAAATACCAAGTAATCTATTAGTAAAATATAGTATTAAAAAAAAGGCCAAGTATGAAACATTGTGTTTTCACTTGAAATATCTTCTCTCCTACTCTCCTTCTCTCCCCTTCTAACACCTGTCTGAAAAACAATTCCTAAAATCTCCCTGTATGTTTAGATTCACCAGTCAACACTAAGTTTACTACCTATAATTGGTAGAAGCTGTCACTAGGTGACCCTACATAGAAATAGCCAGATATCCTAAAGACACAGAACACAAAGACACATATGATTTGCCTTTACTATGGTTTAAGACAAAAATAAACTATAATTATTAAATTACCTAGATTCAACACTCTGGAAGGAGACTCTTCTCCCTTGCCAATGGTTTCTTTACCAGTTTTCTACATTCTCAGAGTTGCTCTAAAAGTTGAAAACTGAAGCTAGAAGGAACATTGCAGAGTCAAAACCATATGATTCTCTTTGCCCAAATCAGGTTTCTCAGTTACTTAACACTGTCTAAAGACCCAGTCTTTTCTTGTACACATTTGTATATAATGTTTGAGTTACCCACTAAAACTTTCTTTAGCATCTCTATTTCAAAATTTTACCATCCAGCTATCCATACAAATTTCCTTCTAGAGGTCCAGATATACCTAATTTGAGCTTTAACCAAATATAAAATAAATAAAATATAAAATATTAAGCCAAGACGTGAAGCTTTTTACCAGAACACAGCTATCAGACTGTTCTTAAGCGTTAAATGTACCATGTGAACATGGCTTTTTGTCTCCCTAGGCTTCATATTTGTCCAGAAGAATGAAGATAATTCAAAAGGCCTCTGAAAGGTAAAACTGAGATTTTCTCTGAGTTATCTCAACAAAAAGCACCACCTCTTTTATGATCCAAATTCCATGACTGGAACTTATATACAAAACAGGCAACTGATGTAAGAAGAAGCACAAATAATAATCAGTTACATGAAAAAATGTTAATCTTCACTAGTAACTACAGAAAT